TCTCGGCGACCTGATCACCTTCAACACGCGCGTCCAGAGCATGCAGTGGGACGACCAGGCGCACGAGTGGCGCCTGTCCCTCAAGAGCAGCACGACGGGCGAACAGAGCGAGGACGTCGCCCGCAACGTGGTGGTGTGCACCGGCTTCGGGTCGAAACCATACATCCCAGATTTCAAGGGCCTGGACAAGTTCAAGGGAGAAATCTACCACACTGGCCTGTGGCCCCAGACGGGCGTTAACATGGAGGGCAAGCGGGTCGCCATCATCGGCACCGGCGCCAGTGGCGTGCAACTGATCCAGGAGACGGCCAAGGTGGCCAAGCACCTCACCGTGTTCCAGCGGACGCCTAACACGGCGCTGCCCATGCGGAACGACAAGTACGACCAGGTCATGAACGACGCGTGGAAGAAGACATTCCAGAACACAAAGGACACCATCCTCAAGACGTACGCCGGGTTCGACTACGAATTCAGCCCGGAGTCGGCGCTCAAGGTCTCGCCAGAGGTCAAGGCCGAGTTCTACCAGAACCTGCTCAAGAGCGGCGGCCTGCACTTCTGGCTGGGCACGTACTCGGACGTGCTGTTCAACGAAGAAGCCAACAACGAGGCCTACGAGGTGTGGCGACAGAGCGTGCTGCCACGGATTAAGGACCCGCGCAACCAAGAGATCCTCGCGCCCAAGGTACCGCCGCACCCGTTCGGCACCAAGCGTATCAGTCTGGAAAAGGGCTACTTTGAACTCTTTAACCAGGACAATGTCGACCTGGTCAGCCTGGCGGACAACCCGGTCGTCGAGGTGACGGAGAACAGCATCAAGACGGCCGACGGCACTGTGGCTGAGGTCGACATGATCTGCATGGCGACGGGCTTCGACAGCGTCACTGGCGGCATCACGGCGATTGACATCCGCGGCGTCGACCCCAAGCAGACGATCAAGGACAAATGGACCCAGGGAACGTACACGCTGTTCGGCCTCGCCGTGTCGGGCTTCCCCAACATGTTCCTGATGTATGGGCCACAAGCGCCGACGGCCTTCGCCACAGGCCCCTCGTCGGCCGAGTGCCAGGGCGACTGGATCACGGCGTGCATCGAGTACCAGCGGGACCACAACATCACCAAGGTCGAGGCGACGCGGGAGGCCGAGCAGCAGTGGCGCGAGCACACGCTCGAGATGGGTGAGAAGGGCCTGTTCACAAAGGCAAAGAGCTGGTACTACGGCGACAACATCCCCGGCAAGCCGCGCGAGGCCCTGAACTACATGGCCGGCCTGCCGACGTACCGAAACAAGATCTGGGAGTCGGCCAAGGACAACTACAAGGGCTTTGAACTGACTGCTTAGATCAATAAGGTTGGATGTTGTGGCCATCCAGGTATATACTAGTACGTAGATCTTGTGGCTCACTAGCATTCAGGAGGTTCCAGGGGAGGAAGGGGACGTGGGAACGTGTTTTCCGGTAGCAAACTTGTGTGTTGATTTCGAATTGTCGTGGTTGCAGGTCGTCAGGTTTCATAGTCCCAAACACAATTCAAAAATTTCAAAATATCTCTTGGAAAGTTGATTTTCTGGGTATATGTATATGCTACAAGAAGTGTAGCCTCACCGTCGATATATCACTTCATACCCAAACAAGCACTATAATACCTTGACACTTGCCGAGACAAGATAGAAGACAGTGTTTCAAGGTCATCGAGCAGGGAAGAGTACAAACAGGATAAACTCTCTTTTAATTGCCTATGCTTTCAACAAAGAATAATAACCTGTTGTTTTCTTCGCATGGCTTCCTCCTTGACTGATCAACGGCCTCTGTCTGCCTCGAAAAGCCTATATTAGAAGCACCGTTCTTCACGTCTTCATCAGAGGCTCCACTGCTTCCTGTTCGAGATCGCGGTCCCGATTCGACAGCGTGGCCATGTTGGTCCATGTCTTCTTCCCAAATCCACAACGACCTTGGAGATAACACCAGACCCCAACCAAGAGAACCACGGCCGTCAAGCTCCCAACCCCGAGCACAATATTCAAGCATTTGGATTTCGTGGCCCCACGGTGACCGACATCCAGGCCAGGGGCAACATACACGAGCATGATCCCCATGACGGGCTCGAGGGAACCATCCATCATCCCCATGGGCTTGTGCACGCGGGTGTCATAATATGCAGTAATAGACCATTCGTCCTCTGGAGTAGTTTCTGTCGTCAATGCACAAGACTCAATGCTAGAGACGTGTTCCGTCATCTTCCCCTCGCCCAGGTAGCGATACTGATTGTAAAAAGCCTTCACACTGCACACGGCCTTGCCGTTCTTGAGGAGATCGATGTGTGTTCCCCCGTCATGCAAGTGGCCTCCGACGAAAGCGACCATACCCTGTGGCGAACCCTTCAGAATGGGGCTGGAATAGTTGAACGCCGAGTCTCGATAGGCGGGTACGTCCGAGGTTCTGCATCCTCCAACATCCATCCAGTAGGGCGTGAGCGCAGTGAAATCTCGAACATGGCGACCCTGGATATACTCGTAAGTTATTGTAAAAACAATGTCCGTCTGCGGTTCCGAGTGCATCATGTTCATCAGATCAATAGCCAGGGCGACCTCATCCGAGCGTCCGATGTAGTAGCCGGCCTTGACGGACCTGGAGAGACTGTCAGTCAAATTTCACAACCTACTGGACTCGAAACAAAACCTACCCTCCACCAGAGAAGTCAATTGCTGTCCTTTCATTCCCCGAGGCTGCAAATCTCTGGCCATATGACCCTTTGCCGCACACAGCATCCGACTGGTTCCTGTTTACCATTACTCCATGGTGAAGCCACATGCCAGTATCGGCATCAGCAACGCGTCCGTCAGCATGCTCAAGGCCCATCTCCAGCAGGGTAATGACACAGTCGCGGCACGGCAGTGTGGTCGAGGGTTGGAAATATTGAGCCATGCCATCATTCTCGGTCATTGGAGGTACGGAGACCGGTGCATATTTGATCGTGACTCTCTCGGAACCATACTCAGAAAAGTATGAAGCCGCATGAAAGACCTTGGTTATCTCTGTTGGAAATAACAATGTGTTAGAATCAAGTGTACCGTCTGAGTGGGTGATATTCTATTTGTGCCCCTACCAAGAGGAAGTGGTTTCCCACGCCCATGTCCGGCCCGGGCATATGCCGAAAAGCACAAGAGACTGAGGAGGTAGAAGGTGAGGACTGCGGCCATTGCGGATTATCAATTATCCCCTTGCTCTGGACACGGCAAGTGTCTCAGAGACGATATCAGCATGAAATCAGCTTTCCGGGATGCATTCGAGACTAAAAGGGAGCGGCATTAGGCAGACGAGAAAAGCTGAAATCCAAAGACCGAGCTTGATGACGCAGCGTGATAAGGGACGAATAGATGAGAACTCGGCAACTGACCAATGGCAGATGCAGGACGCTCTCCCACTCCGCCCAAAACAGAAGGTTGCATATTTGCAACATGGTACAACAGAGAAATCTTCAGCCCTTGATCCGCAGGAGTGCGGCCTGGCCTTGGTAGGGCTGTGGCTGGCGCCTCGACTTGCAGAGTATGGCTTCAATGACGGTCTAGCTGTGTGAATCAGAAGGCTGAATATTTGCCGTATTGGGGAAGCGTGGTGTCGAACCATTAATATACTTCTCCTGTCCATGCTGTGAAACCACTGGACTCTGACGAGAGCATCTCCACACTCTGATTGAACAACGCGCAGCTTGTGGCTAGCTAGAGATTCTGCAGTACAAACATTGTTGCAAGGTTCAGTTTCAGCGGAATAGAGATTGAGTGTCGCTCTTCCTGTTTGTCGTGCCCCTCGTGGCCAGTCATCTCCCTCAGTCTAGTACCGGGTACCAAGCTGCGGGAGAGTCTGGAGCGATGGCCACGTTGTGGCCGATGAGAAGGTAGAAGAAAATTCGGTCACGGCATTTTTGGCGGCGAAGAGAATCTGGTTGGCTCGTCACAGGGTCCTGTCTGCCAATATTTTATCCTGCAATAGACTTACCGTCCCGCTGGATAACCCCGGTCTGATTCTAGGTCGACTCCGAGTACATACAGCATTGCGGCCGCTTATCAAGGGAATGGTGTCTCAAGAGTGGGTCTCCAGCCGTCTGCTCATGGCCCTTTCAAAGACGTTGTCTGGGCGGCTAAGGCGATGGGTCCTGCACGAAAATGCTTCTGCCTGGGGCATGGGAACCCAGGGGTTCGTATATACTCCTGGAGTAATACCTTCTGCCTGAGGAATTTTATCGATCCCTTCCCTCGCCTTTGTGTACACAGATCGCCACCTCGGACATATTGCATCATGTACGGGCAGGAGACCAAAGGTATTCCGGCCCAAAAAGAGACGTTCAAGTGGATGTGAGAAGCTGACATTCACTGTTGAAGCTTGCCCACCTTACGAAGCTCCAGCAACTGCGTGCAGCCATGCTGCACCAGTGATGTAGGTAACTGACATTTTCACCGTCGGGCTCTCCGCTTACCTCAATGACCAGGCACTATCATGCTCCAACTCCCCCAGTCAGGCTGGTATGCACAACTGAACACTGCTATGTTCCGCCACTCCATTTGATGCCGACAGCAATCCGCGATCTTGGTCACCTGGAGGCACTGGTCGATTGTCCATACTGTGGAATAAGGGGAAAGACCAAGACAAGTTTGCTTAGCGGGAACATGAATCAGTTGGTATTTCAAGCGATACTCGTGGACTGCTGCTGATCCTCCCTCGTGAACAGTGCATGGGCCGCATGCTTGTTCCTTACCACCGTCTTGTTCACCTTCGCCCCTTACATGTGCAGTAGCCTGAAGAATATCGAGCATCGTTGCAGAAGTTGCGAGAAACAGCTCGCCATCTGGCATCGAAGTAGACGTACAGTGCCCAAGTAGAATATATAATACCCAACTTCGACCACTATGCGCTTGAACCCAGCAGCTTGAGTCATTGAGAGTATGCGATGTTGAGGGATGTCTGTGCACAGATTACGCCTTTCGTGAATGAGGCTATGCAGGATAATCAATCGAAAAATAGAGACTCGGCAGACGGCATCTCACTGGATGCCTGTGAATTGAAGAATGATTCCCAGCCTTGATCCAGATCCGTCATGAAGTCAAGAGAGCCAGAGACCGCTTGAAACTCATCCTGTGCCCAAGGCAAGTCGGAGTCAAAGCTATACATACCCTCATAAGTGATTTTTGGAGATTGAGGATTGAGATCAGCACTAGGCATACCACTGCTCGAAGAGTTGACAAGACAGCCTGGATATGCTGGTGAAGACCCATGATCGCGCGACGTCTTTAGGCTGCTGGACTTCAAGTGCCGCTCCAAAGCCACGTAGAGAGTTCCAAAATAAGGGATTTTTATCCTCGGTGGGACTGCACAGTTCAAGGAGTCTTCCTCTTGAGCCAGCACTAGCAATGTAGCTAGAGTTTTCTGACATTGACGGGCGAGACCATTGACCCTGTTTTCCGCCACTCTCTGCAAAGTTTTCAGGGTTTCGTTGCTTAGCTCCATATCATCCGGCAGAAGATGATCTCCCGAGCCACAGAACGCTGCAACGACCAGTATGACTGCAGCCATAAAACCGACAAAGTCAAGCGACTGACAATCAAAAATGGGGCTGCCGTCAACATAAGATCTCAAAACTTGATAACGCTTCAGCAGTTCTCTTGCAGACTCGATCGCCGTCAACCTGCTGCTCACGTAGAGGTGGGATGTCGGCGACTTGAGGAGATATGGTAGATGCAAGTATATCCTGGTGAGGAAGTATTGTGTCTGACATATCAGCCTTTCTCGTGATTCATTCAGGTCGGTCGAGCAAGCGTCTGCGGTGATCTTGTGGTCCCACCAATGCCTTGGTTTTGTGCTCGCTAGGGTGGTGAGCTCGTCATCGATGTCCACGATCTCAGAAAATTTCGGGCCTTTGCGACTCTGCACCTGGTCAATGACGCGGCCTGTGATCATGCCTAAGCGGATCGCAAAAGGCAGCGTTGCGTAGCCAAGCTGGCTTGTTTCACTTGCGTACGTGACAATGAAGGAGTTGTCCGAGATAGAATACGGCAGACCGAGCAGGATGGACAAGAACCGATCACCGAGATAGAGTGTCCACCAAGCAGCACTCCGTCTGTGGGAGCTCGAATAGTTGCGGTGCAGATTCTGGGACAAGTCAGCAACGCCCAAAGAAATTGTTCGTAGACTTGGAAGGGAGGACGACCATAATCTGAGCCAGTGAGATGCCGTGACGGTTACACAGAAAGGCACGAAGAGGCTGACCAACATCGAGATAGACCTTGGCGTGGAAAACTGCCAGAAGGAGTCCCTCGACGCTCCTTGCAAATCGGTCGCTTGCGAGAACAAGACGATCAACCACCGCAAGATACTCTGAAGCCTCGGCGGCATGATGACGACCGTAGGATGAGACAAGGAAGCCGAGTTCTATCGGAGTACCGATCATGTAGACTCGTTCTAGAAACTGCAGGATGCTCTCCTTAGGAGCATCTGGCCCAAATGTCTTGATATGCCAGAAATCCCACCATTTGGTGTCTCCAGAGAAACATTGTCTCAGTGCGTTGTAGGGGGGGAGAGCAGCTCTGAGCTGTTCACAGATACGACTTTCTCCAGCGTCCAATCTTGAAGTAGGAAATATTTGGCATTTCCTATCAGCATGGAGATTGAAATCATCTGCGTCCTGCTCCGATTGGCTCGTGTTCGCGACTTGTTGAGTTGAAAGAAGCTGCTCGGAATTCAGCCAGGCTTCCTCCCCACGCGTCAAATACCAGAAAGAAACTTGTTATTCCGTACTTGAGTAGCCTCCAATGCAGCTACGAGTGGAGCGCGGCGAGCAAGTTCAGACAGGTCATCATCCGAGTCTTGGGTCACCCCTGCATCTTGGCCCACCGAAGTCGAAGCAGGGGCTTGAGCAACAACGGTCTGCTCTCCAGAGAGATTCTCCACCAGGCGCTCCAAAGTGGCCACTCTTTCTCTTAGAGACTTCTTCTCGTCGTTTGGATCATCTATACCACGAGGTTTTGGCACGACGCAGGCAAGGCCGCGTGCGAGACATCGGGTACATTCGTTGGTGGAGTCTGCACTGTATATACAACGGATCTTCCTCCGTCTACCTACCAAGAGTTAGACACAAAATCACACCGAACCTCACGTCATTGGAGAGAAGAGTTCAATGAGATGGGACAAAGAGAGTGAGATGGACACAGCTTACACTCAGAACAAGTCCGAGACGCCTCGCGCTGTTTCTTGGACACCCTTGAAGTGTCGGTTGTTTGAGACATATCGCACAAGAGTCTGGGGGAAACCCTCTGTAGTGCTGGAAGAGTGCATGACTGGAATGTGGATGAAGAAGAGTAGCATATGAAGAGAGTAACGAGTGAGACGCCAAGCATATGCCAAGGGATCGGAGTTTATGAAGTCAACGGAGTTTAACTCTAGTAACGCGGCCACAGCCTTGGCATCCGGAGCCTCCGTCATCCTCAGCCTTGCGAGGCTGTGTTTATTTTCACACCTTTTTCCTCTGTGGTCGTCCTTCAAGGGATGGCCTAGATGCAGAGAGATATCCGTTAGCTTCAGTCTCACTTGTCGCATCGCTTCGTCAGTCATATCCAGCCACATACCTTTGGTTCTTCCACGCCTTCAAAACCTCCCCAGCGCACCTCAAGTTTTGATGGTCTCGTCGGCCCAACATGCTTGTCAGCCAGACCCGACAGAAACGCGTGAGGATAGCCCAGGTCGATCGGAACTGCTTCCTCGATCTCTCGCATGTCGTCTTCGCTGAGCTTGACGCTCAAATTCTCGATATTGGCCTGGAGTTGCTCGATTTTCCGACACCCAATGATTGGGAACACGTACGGCTCCTGCGCAAAGTTAACAATCGCTCGTTATCTGCCGGAAACCATGGCATCGTCTGCTATACCTTCAATGTGACGTATCTCAAAGCAACCCCAACAGCGTTTGTGCCCTTCCTCTTCGCGACCCGTTCCAAAGCTGCAGTGGCGCGCTCATAGGCCTCCAGCCCCTTTCCAGAGAGATCATACGCGGGCCTCCCTCCCTTTTCGGCCTTTTCGGCCTTGGTTTTGAACTTGCCAGCGCCCATTGCTTCCCACACGGTGATGGCCATCCCTTCGGCCTTGCACATGGGGACTATGTCTCTCTCAATATCCCGGGCCACAACGTTCCACAACCCTTCGTAGACCACAAACGGGGTCAAGCAATGCTGGCGGGCATAGTCATTGGCCTTGACGACCAGCCAGGCCGGCCAGTTGGATATGCCCAGGTACAGGACCTTGCCTTGCTTTACAACATCGTCAAGCGATCGCATCAACTCGGGGATGTTGGTCACTCCGTCCCAGGCATGAACGTAGAGGATGTCGACATAGTCTGTCCTCATTCGCTGAAGGCTCTCTGCGAGTGAGAGGCGCAGGCTCTTTCTGTTGGCGCCGCCAAAGTTGGACGTGATGGTTCCCTCTGGAAATTGCTCCGGGAATTTGAAGGGCAGCGCGAACTTGGTGGCGATGATCATCTGGTCTCTGACTCCGCGATCTGCCATCCAGTCCCCAAGCCACTCTTCCGACTCCCCACCCATGTAGAAGTTGGCAGTGTCAATGAAGTTGCCACCAGCATCATGGAAGCGGTCGAGGATCTCATAGCTGGTTTCTTTGTTGCAACCACCCATGGCCGCACCCCTATGCTGCTGTTAGCGAACACACTGCGGGACGGGAATGCAAGCACTGACCATAATCTTTGGCCGAAGCCCATCGCCCCCAGGCAGACGGGAGAGACGAGTATGGGCGCATTGGGACAAAGGAGACGATGCTGACCGAGTTTGGTGCGTGGCGGTGGTGCAGGTGCAGTAGCCATTATGGAGGCCTTGTATGGGATCTGTAGTAGAGGAGACTGAGGAGGAAATTGTTATGAGAAGTGTGTGATGATTCTTTTTTTCCAGACAGAGGATAAGCACCATTTATGCTTCTCATCTTCCATGCCATTGCGCTGAGAAGCGGCCCGACGTCTCTTGTTGTATACACTTGCAGACTTGTCAATGCAGCTGCGGAGGATGGTAGGATCAAGGTGCGGCCCGCTTTTGTTCCGCTTCGCGATGCCAAGGTGTCAAAGGACTGCGAGAAAAGGGACCATTGGAACTAAACACCTCATTTACCATCATGCACTTTGTCATAGCCAAGAGCTGCATCTACAAGTGCTATGACTACAATCACATAATTCTTCCCCTACTATTAGCTCATGATAGTTCCTGAATGGTACCAAAAGCGGAGTCCAATCCTTCCATCAAAGTCCAACTCGGTTCCCTCTCGTCCGCATTCCACCTTAACCCCGCCCGTGTATATGGCTTGAGCAAAAATTCTTCCCTAACGGCTGAAAAAATCTTCCACATATGTCAACAGGATCGACTTCGAAACTCGCATCATCTGGGCCAGTACAGTCAGCAAGTGTTGATGTTGGGTTGGCAGGATTCATCCTGGACCGACCTACCCTAGCACTGAACATGAATTGTCCGCCTTTGCTTGGGACGTCATGGCTTGAACAAAGCATCCAGGTCCATGACTGCTTCGAGGTAGAATGGAACTCGGGTAAGTTGTTCGTCCCCAGCCTGCGTCTTTTGATCACTGGTAGTGGCACCCGTGGCTCCAGTAGACGTTGATACTGAGGAGGTCCTGGAAGAATTGCGGTCCGCAGCTTCTCCTTCACCACAGCCCGGCACAGCGCTCCAGGCGCCTATGTACTTGAGCGCTTCATCGTTGGCTTGGGCTATGTCGGCAGACTGACACTGGCGTTCTTGCGAACCTGACTCGAGGTTTGAAGTGCAGATCGAGCTTCCATCATTGCAAACAAGAGACGACCTCATTGTCTCGGCCGGGTATGATCCATTCCCAACAGCAGGGTGAGGATGCTCGTTCGGTTTGATGCGAGAAGAACCACTTGACTCGCGCCTGAACCGGGTTAGCAAGAGACATCCGCAACAACTACATCAGACTCACTTCGTGGTTCCATCAGTGTTCGATTTCAGATTGTCCTCCTTCATCATTTGTGCTGATCAGAGCCCGTCCTGCTTTGACCCGTTATGGTTGATAAAGGTAATCATCCTCCTCTTCAGACAAGCTCCAGCTCTTATATTTTTTTTTTTCTCGGTTGCCGTTGGTTCATCTGTGCCGTCACACGGTTCCTTGTGGGCATCAGCCATTGTACGCTCCGTTTCATCGTCTTTGATTTCGAAACCACTTTTTGCCTCCTTCTTACCGTGGTCAAAAGCGCCGGGACCAATCCAGATCGATCAAGTGTCGACTCGGATGGCAACTCCCGTCCGCCACCGATCAGAGAACCACAAGCCTCAGACCGGAGAACGAATAACATGAAGCCATCGGACCGGTCAACCTTGTTGTCTCCTTTTGAAACTTGAGATTTTATCGACATTGGCTATTCATCTTTTGTCGACACGCCTTCTCTCAGGCACCACCAGGAAGGCCAGAGGACGTTTATGTCTGCATGATGCATGCACCATGCATGGCCTATCAAACAGGGTCCGAGATTGATTCAAGAAACAAGCGACAAGCCCTTAAGAAAACTCCCGTCGTGATTATTGGTCATTGCACTTTTGCTTCCCTCAGAATGATGGCGGTGGCTGGTGGGTGAGCAGCCATAGCACAAGCGATTGGTCTTTACTCCTTTGAATCTTTACTCCTTTGAATCTTTACTCCTTTGAACCTTTATTCCTTTGAATCCGCGTCTCCTGGCTTTTGTGGCCTCCTTCCACCGTGTGACACCAGACTCCGCTAGCCATGGTTGCCTTTCGAAAAGGGTTCGATCCAGTCACCACAAAGCTGGTCGCGTCGCTCAAGGACAAGGACTCGGTCGTGGTCGTGGTCGTGGTCGTGGTTGTGGTCAGGAAATTGTTGCTAGCAATCTTCTGCCTTGCACCTAGGACAGATGTCCTCCCAAGGCTGCGAGCACACATACCTGGCAATTTTCATTTAAGTATGGCTCCTCGACACGCCTAGGAAAAAGGAAACCATTATCCTTAATCATCTCTTTCCATCCCCCCCGCCACAATACCTTCTTACTTTGAACCAATTTCAAGTCTCCCAAACAGTCATGGACCAGGACTTCAGCCTGCAGTTTTCCGACTATCGATCTGATCTGCCTCTAGCAGAGAAGTGGAATCGGCTGAAGCCCGCAATCGCCCGCCTCTACGTGGAGGAAAACCGGAAGGCTGAGGAGGTGCAGGAAATCATTCGCCGTCAGTGCGGCTTCGATCTTCGGTAAGTCCCCCTCAATGCCCATGGACTTCTGGCTCTCTTGACCCGGTTAAACGGCCAACAGTTTTCTGTTGCAGGATCCATCAACTCAAATACCAGATCAGAAAATGGAAGCTGAAGAAGAACATCCCGACCCCGGCCAAGACCAAGATGTTCGAGATGAAGGAGTCAAGAGCCTCCAGAGGAAAAGAAACAGTCTTCGAGTACCATGGGAAGGCGGTCGATAACAAAAAGCTTGCTAGACTGGCCAAAAATATGGTTCACAAGACCCCAGGAGCAAGGAAGGAGATGACAAAGCTCGACATCACCCCTGGAATGTAAGGTTCTCCTGCTCGTCGCTTGGAGAGTCACTTCCTGACAAGGTTCCAGCTTCATCGTGTGGAACATGCCTTATGGGGCACTGCGATACTCTCAAGCAGGCCCGATCAACCACATCTCGCCCAACGTTGTAGCATCTACGCTTGCTGGAAACAGCGACATCGTGGCAAGAACCCCAGGGTTGTACGGAGCGCAGAGTCCAGCAGCCGACTCTCCATCCGGGCTTTCTCGGGCCCTGAGGACAAAAACAGCCCTGGAGAGGGCATACTTGTTCGTGGAAGGGAAGCACAATGAGCTCCTCAGGTCAATGGAAAGGTCCGAGCGAATGTGAGCGGCCGTTGCTCAAAGCTTCATTCTCGCCTGCGATTTGCTGACATGACCCAGGACCATGGCTACATGGCTGTATCATTTCTGGCTCTTTGCATACAAGACGGCCAAGTACTGGGGGAGAGGCCCTCGCAACTGGACCGCAGATCTTCTCGAGCTTGACAAGTACATGGAAAGCCTCTCCATCTCTACGGTTGGAACGCCGGATGGGCCTGGGGCAAGCTCAGATGTCGAACAACGCCATGTTCCCGCAAGTCAATGGCTCTCAGATGGCATTACCCCAAGCATCCTCTGTAACTGGGGGGTCCATGTTCCCGGAATGAGCTATGAGCGCGCTCCGCACGACTTCGAGGACGACGACTCTGACGACGACGAGGACCACTCTGACAACGAGTGGAGAGGCTGGCCACAGGCGTGGAAGCGCGACAGCTTCGTCAAGAAGCTTCACACCGCCCTGTCGCAAAATCTTTTCAGCAATATCGATGCCGACGACCTTCCGATCGCGCTCTCTCGCCTCTTGACAAATTCCAGTGGTACTAGAGATCAGTTTCTTGAGGAAGGTCTGGCTTTCAGCATCATAGGCCGCAATGTCGACCTCATTTTCTCGCTGGCGAGGACGATTAGGCCCCGTGAAGTTGATGTCGAGGGCCTATACCCTTTCCATCTGGCCACCACTTATCTGTGTGGGTCGAACCCGTGTTGCAATGCTTTTGCACGACTGCTCTATCACCACGACATGTACCCCATCAGGGCCATGTACATAAACGACCGCGGCCATACAGTTCTGGACAATCTCATGATTGTCATTGTCAAGGCGCACACAAGCTGCGTTCCTGGCGACGTGGACGAGAAGATGAAGTCTCAGAGACGTTTCGCGGGCGAAGAAGTCGACGTATGTGGAAGATGGGATGCCGATTCCGACGAGATCAGAGCTCTTTTGGCCAAGAGGTTGTCCAGGATTCCCTTTGACTGGAAGCACAAGTTCTGTCACACCTCGACCCAGGTCGTGTGCCACTGCATCAGCCTTATGTTTGGTGCTCCCTGGAAGCCCGACATCAACCATCCAAGTGGCCTGTTCAAGAAACAGTGTCAGCACTGCACGATACGCTTAACACTGCTGCCACTCCACACCTTGGTAATGGTTGCATTCCTACTCGCCGAACGAGGCTGCGAGGAGGAGGACCTATTCGGCATCATTGCGTGCTTGATTTGCCTGCTCTCGAGAGGCGCGAACCCGCTTCTAAGTTCGAGGCTGTCAGCGCCGGTATTGTATGGCACGGATCAAGATGTCTGTTGCACTCACGAGACCCTGACGCCTTTGCAGCTTGTGGAACGCTTGCCTCAGCAGTGTTTGCAAAGATGGACTCCTGCTATCCGCACTGGCTGGATCATTCTTAGCCATGTGCTCAGACTTTCGGAGAGAGCCTGGCGCCCAAGTACAGCTCAAGCCACGACGAGCCCAACCCTTGACTTCAGTCGGTTTATTAGCTATCCTGACGATGAGTACGACCGTTATGCAGGCGATTCGATTGATGTCGACCCTACTGGAGATGCGATGGATATCGACCATGACACAGTCAGTGATGATGTTGTCGATGAAGACATCCATCACTGTTACGAGTGTGGCAACACCAACCATTTTCGCGGCAGCCACCAGCTTCGTGACCTCTGGGCAGCCATACAAGCAGAGCTACTCACATATAGACGTCTGAGGGACGGGCACAGATGGGTTTCGCCAAACTTCAACATGGATGAAGTGCTTCGGAGTCTCGAGAGAGGTCGCCCGGTCCAGGTCGGTCTGATTGAACGCAAACTGCTCCGCGACTACTGTGACTGCGGCAATTTCCTGCTTCCAAAGACCATGACTGCCCGTGTGTCGACATGGTTTGTGCCGAATATTTTTCGAACCTGGAAGAATGGGAGCGCACGACATTCTTGTGGTGTCCGGAGAAGGGGTGGCATCAGGCGGAGGCCTCAGACAAAGAGGACAGCGACTACAACGACCCAGACTATCCTGACGAGGAAGAGAGTAACGACGAGGATTTCTGAAGTGTCGTGGTTAGTCGTGGTGGTGTTTACGAGCTTGGAGTCTTTCTTTGCTCTGGCTGACATCTGCTATCAGAAGGAGGAGTTATAGGAATCATAGCATGTCAGGGGATCACGGGACCATGGAATAATCAACAAAAAAAACAAAATAGGCATGACTTTCACCTTTATCACTTTGTCGTCGTGGCTGGTCATGACGGTATTTCTTTACTTTGGCAGGCGAAACAAGGCCGTCTGTTCCACCTGTCTGGGAGGAGGATCTGTATGTAGGCGTTCCAGAGCCTCCTAACGTGATATTGACTATTATCTGTCACCCAATTTATTCCCGTGTTTGCTACTCGCACATTTACTAATGTGGCATCGTCGATATGCGTTGGGCTGGTGGCGCTCAGAAAGGGGCCGGATTGGGACGCGGCCAATTTCCACCGGTTCTGCTAGAACAAACTTAACCATCTTTTTTTTTCACTCTCGGGACTCGACCCTTGTGTAACATTTCACTGTCCGAGGACGCGTTGCCTCTCGATCATGCTGGTCCAATACCACAGCTCGAGATGTATGTTTCGCCTCAACTCCTATCGATCGAAGAGCAGGCTGAATCTCAGAGTGCCTTGACCACCCCACCACTAACACCAAGCCACATTCCTACACAGACCAGAATCGGCATGTCTCAATACATTGGGCCCAAGAGGTGGAGACCATCTAATCCAGAGCCGTGGCGTAGCTGACAATTCCCAAAAGCCATGATACGCCCGTCTAGACCCCCCTCTAGAGAGCCTTGTATGGGCCAGCAGAAGATGCGAATCCCAGCCCGGACCGCCTCTGCCGTTATTGTTGCCCCCAAAAGCAAGCCTCCCGCAACGACGTGTGTGCCCATGGCCGCCTTGACATCTAATAGTCGACCGGCAGAGTTTTCTACTCCCTGATATTACAACGTCCACGCCGCACTGGGCTGGCGTTGGGAGAGTGGGCACGCGAGCCATGGAGTCGGAGGTACCGAGCAGATATCTTCAGCAGCTGAACGGGGAGTATAAAGATCCAGAGAGACCCGCCAGCAAACGGCCAACGCTCTCTCCTCGTGGCCTCGCTTCCTAGCGTTAAGTTCCTCTATCCACCTCGCAGACGATGGATCAAGCGGCAAATCTCACCAGCGGCACCGGAGCGACTCTCGCCGCCGTCCTTCAACATTGGCATCACAAGGCAGTACCTCGAAAAGCCGGAGTTGAACCTCTACCAGACGAGCCGAAAAGAGCATACGCAGGCACAAAGGTCGACATCACCGAGTTGCAGCCCTGTACACCGAGAACACCCAACAAGACGTTCTCGGAACCGCCCCTGCGAGAGTGGCCCCAGGAACCCGTCCCCATCACCAATGAACCAGTGGTCGAGCGATGTCTGGACGCGGTCGACGTGATCTTGTGTCTCCTGCCCTGCGTCCTCATCATCAAAGCCGGGCTCTGCGTCCTGGCTTCTGAGATTGACAAGACCCACGTGGGTGCCTCGATCGACAAGACCAGTCAACTGACCCTCCGCCTCATCGAGTTCAACAACCAACTCACCACCATTTTCACCATCATCTTCATCGTCATTGTCTCCACGACCGTGCGGCGGTATGCGCTGTGGAAGGCAGAAAAGGGGGCTACCCTCGGGGAAATTGAACAACTGCACGCATCCATCAGCTTAACGGCGACCCTCAAGGCAATCTGGTCCCTGCGGCGGTTCACACTCACGGGCCTGAGCCTCGTCTTTCTGTGGTCCTGGTACTACGTGGGATCTCAGGCGGCGTCACGGGAGTACTCGTACAGGGACTCGGCCAGCTTTGGGACTCAATCGGTCGCATTTCTCAGTTCGAACGCAGTGTCTCCGTTCCAAGGAGACCAGATCGACATCGACAAGGTCTCGCCGGTCAAACTGACCGACATGACGGCGCGGTACCATTTGTACAGTTCTTTCACAGCGGGCACGCAGCAGACCAACGTGCAAGGCGTCCGAGAGGTACAAGGCGCCGACATATACGGCGCCACTCTGACCCCGTGGTACGGCCATCCACGCGACAGTTCCTCACTCGAACTCGATCGGCATGGCTGGTTGGAGATCCCGCACATGTCTGATCAGCCCGTCATGTCGTCGATCGGAACATCCTTGTACTGGCTGAACCGGACTGCCGGGGTGAACGCCTGGACACCGCAGAAAATGGTCGGGTCTTTCGTCTACCAGGTGTCCCACTTCCAAGCCAACTGCACGGCGCCGTTCCTGTCCACGAAGGCAAAGCCCAAGGGGTCGCTGCCCGCCGTGTCGACGACGATGAACATGACGACGATGCCGTCGGACGCGGGCCAGCCCCGCGAACTGTACTTCTGGAACTTTGTCAACGACACGCACAGTTTGACCTCGACGTGTGAGATGACCAACGTGACGGTTCAGATCGAGGCCATCTGCACGGCCGCGACCTGCAAGCCCACTCGGATGAAACACATCAGCACGTCTCCGCGCACCTTACTGGACTCTGACGTCTTCGCGACGCCATTTTTCAACTCCATGCTCCTGGCGTGCGGCCTGCCGCAACACGAGGGCGATTACTCGACGTTCGACAACGACAACGGCCTCGTCGATCTCAAGAACGACCTCGCGCAACAGACACTCAACGATCCCTCGCAACTCGAAAGGGCCAGCGCGGACGCACAATTCCCCCTGTCCATGGCCATTACGCGGTACATGAACACGTACTTCACGTCGTCGCAGATGCTGCGATACGAGCACGGCTTCCAGGACGACCTGGCGGTGAACGGGTCCATTGCGCTGACCCAGCACGGCTCGGACTTCAGCTTCCTGGCAATGGACGGCGCCATCTACAACCCGCAACACGCCCTGTCCTGGCCGTGGCTGGCCATGGACATCGTCTCCAACATGGTCCTCCTCGCCACGGCCATGGGCGCGCTGTGGCTACGGAAGCACACGCTGGCGCCGGACATCTTTGGGTTCGTGAGCAGCTTGACGCGGGACAACCCGCACCTGAACCTGCCGGAGGGAGGGAGCACCCTGTCGGGGATCGAGCGCAGCAGGAGGATGAAGATGGTCAAGGTAAAAATTGCGGATGTGGGAGAAGACTCGAGCGTCGGGAGGGTGGGTTTGACACAGGTGGACGGGTTCGAAGAGGCGAAGGACTTGGAAAAAGGGAGGACTTATTATTGATGAATTACCAGTATTGACTGACATTGGCGATGGGTTCATGAGGAAATATGCCTAGGTAATTAATGACACGGCCGTTTGTTTTTTGGTTTCCATCATACCTTCCCCTCCGAAATCCCGTTTCATTCCCGCCTCATACCACTAAGTGGGTGCCCGCGAGATCTCACCTACTCATCCTCTTCCCTCTTCACTCCTCATCCCTCCAGACTATCGAATCGTAAATCCGCCATCGACCCTGAGATCCGCGCCATTGATCATGCCACTGTCGTCTCCACAGAGAAACTCGATCGCGCTGGCGACCTCGTCCGGGACGGCAAACCTGCCCGTAGGGATCTCGGCGAGATGCTTCGCCCTCTTGTCTTCATCCGCCCAGGCCTTCGCGGCCAAGGGCGTCCACGTCACGGTGGGCGAGACCGTGTTGGCCGTGATGCCCTTGGGACCCCATTCCGAGGCCATACAGCGGGTGAGGCCGAGCAAGCCGGCCTTGGAGGCGCAGTAGGCGCCGTGGCCGTCGAGGGCGACGTGGGCGGCCTGGGACGCGATGCTGACGATGCGACCACCCGGCACTGGGGGATTCTCACGGTTCGAAAGTGCGGCGGCTCTGAATCGGTAGAGGTAGAAGAAGGCGGTGCTGCAGTTCAACGGTCCCAGCAGGTTCGGGAGGATGTTGCGCATGGCCTCCTCGGCCGACGTGTCCTCGAGAGGCTGCACCGAGACATAACCCGCCGCGTTGATCAGGATGCTGGGAAAGGCCTTGTAGACGGAAACGTCCGCCAGTTTGCCGTCCTGGCCCAGAACCTGCCTGACCGAGTCCTCGGACGTGATGTCGCATTCGAACGTCCACACCCTGTCCGGCTTTTCAGACGAAAACACCCGTTTCACCGTGTCGACCACACGATCCCGTTCGAACGGGGCGTATAGCAAAGCCACATCTGCTCCTCGCGCATGGAGACGATGGGCAATCGAGGAGCCAAGTCCGCCTATGGGCATGTTGAGCAGTGTCACTCACATCTCTTTCGGGGGGGAACACGGAGAACTCACCGATGCCACCGGCTATGATTGCTAGACGTCCTTCCAATGTAGTAGCCATGGTGGGAGAGAGGTGGTAGCACATCAAGAACTGGTCAGACTCCAGGGCGAATACCAGCAGCTCTTGTAAATAATCGATGCCTGCCTGGTTCTTTGACCCCGCACATGCTCAGGTTCCGACAGGTTCAAGTTGAATACAGCCTGATATCGAGTTGGCCGGTGTATCGCCTTTCCATCCGTTCATCATTACCTCGTGTTAGGTATAGCTCTTGGGGTTTCTATACTAGTTACCCGTTGGCCCCTCCCGCCTACATACTAGATCGCATGCTCTCTGCCCTGTATTTTCTCTACCATGTTACCCAACAAGTACGAGAGAACATCATTTAGATGCTAATAGACACCCACAGCTTCAGGGTTGATCTTATGTCATTAAATCCGGCACCAAAATATATACCTAATAGTTGCAGCTTCAAACTCTTTGCGCTCTGGGAATTTAACGCTTCCTCCGTCCCTTTGACAAACTGCTCGCTCCTATAACAGCCTGCTATGTAACTTCGCAGCTAGTCGCAAACCAAAAATATTGTCACTGATGACTCCCACCATTGCTACCCCTTCGGCCTCGAAATCTCTCGCTGAAAGTGGTACGAATTTTCAGCTCGGCGATATCGCGTTTCGTCCGTGTCGGTCGAGTTCCCACATCTTTCTGTGGACCACGATGTCCTTAAGCTGGATCGAATTTCGCAACCAGCAGGTGTTTGGGGCTTTGCTTCTTCACCGATACTGTCAGAGGATGTCTGGTGCAGAGCACGCACGGTTGGCTTCCACAATAGTCCAATATGCACGTCGCGATCCCACGGGTGGTGGCTGGGGCAGAAACGATTCAAGATCAATCGCTGGTTGACCTAAATCAAAAGCCGAATGGGTTTTGTGCAGCTATAGTATCGTCAGTGTTCCGTGTATCAAGGGCAGCTCATGAAATTTAAACTTACTCGCATTGGCAAGGTTTGCTCTGCGTCCCGTTGGCTGAGGAGTCAACTTCTTAGCCTCAGTAACACCAAACTTCACAGGAGGAGCGGGGCCGGTCTTTTGCGCTTGCAATGGCGCAATGGTCGGGAGCTGAGGAAGAGGTGGCAGCGGTGGCACGGGTGGTGTTTGGAAGCCCCCGAAGCCATTCTGCTGCGGGACTTGCCCGAATCCAGTGGCTTGTGGTTGTAGTGGCTGCTGGAAAGCGGTTTGTTGGGGTTGAAGTGGTGCCGCTTGAGGGAATCCTGCCTGGGGTTGAATACCTGGACCAAACCCATTGAGCTGAGGTTGTGGCGCAGGGGATACAAACCCGGTCCTTTGCGGTTGAAGAGCCGGCGGAAGGACCGTGTTGATCCCCCCCGGTGCAGGGCTTTGCTGAAATGGTATTCCTGTCGGTTGGGGCTGAAAGGATGGTCGTGGATCTGCAAAAGGACTTCCAGCTGCGTTCCCATTGATATAGGGCTGCTGTTGGAACTGAGCAAATTGCTGCGGCTGGAACCCTGTCGGTTGCGGAGCCAATCCGAATTGTCCAATACCTGGGGTTGGTTGAATGAAGCCGGTAGCCTGGGGCTGCAGCTGCAATTGTTGGAATTGCTGCTGAACGTGTTGCTGTGAAAGATCGTTCAAACTTTGGCCAGGGGGAGCTTGCAGGGCTGATGTTCGTGGGATCCCGGTGAGCTGCGGTTGCAATGGCTGAAGGCCAAACTGGTTTTGCTGGGGATTTTGAGGAGCGGAGGTTGGACGAGGGGGAGGTGGAAGCAATCCAGCACCGGCAAAGCTCTGCTGTGGTGCTACAGGTCGCTGTCGAGGGATGTTCAATTGTTGTGGCGTTTGTAATGCGGTCACTTGGGGTTGCAGTTGTGCAGGTTGTTGATTCAATTGCGAGAAGAAAGCAGGATTGGCACCGGTTTGTTGAGCTTGCTGTACAGGAGGAGATAGGACTGGAGTCGGGACAGTGGGTGGTTGTGGTTGTGGTTGTGGCGGTGGCGGTGGTGGCTGCTGCTGGACAGGTGCAGGAGTAGGCTGGAGAGGAGCGGGCAGCGGCCCGTCGAGCAGAGAGGACAAGTCCTTTGTTGCCCCCGTAGGAGGCTTCGGCGCTGGTGATGGGGTGGCAGCGGCTGGGGTAGGTTGTGAAGCGGCCGCAGGCTGGCTCGGTGCCTTGACCGTCCAAGCATCATCATCGAAACCACTCTTGACGGGCTCCCTCGGCGGCGCCTGTGTAAGAGGCGTCGCTCTTGCGTCCGGAGGTGGCCTCTTTTCTTCCTCCTTCGACGCAAAGGCGTCTGCATCGACAACATCGCTGGTCGAACGTGTCGCCTCCGGTCTACCTCTGCGTGTATTGTTATGTAGAGTTCCACCTGGTCCCGAGAAGAGACCTCCTTGCGCCGATTCTCCGTTGGTGCCATTGGTCATCGGAGCACGCGTTCGTGCAAATTTCTGGTCCAAGAATTTCATGACCTTGAGTATATCGCCCTCCTTGAAACCTAGGGTCCGCAGAGTTTCGGGTGTGATGTCGGGAAGCACACTTTCATCCATCGAGTCTCGAATCATGGCTTGCGCATATCTTTCGCATTGATGAGGGCCAACGCCAGCGGTGAGGAAGAAATCAAACCAGTCGTACTCGGGGGCTTTCGGCTGCTCTGTTGCGCGGGCCCCAATGCTGGCGCCGGTCCGAGAGGTGGGTTGTTCTTGATTTCGATGTCTCATCTTAATCAAATCAGCCACAGGAATGTGCTCTTCGATCGGTTCGTGTATTACCTGCTCAACATATGCAAGGTCTTCAGGTGACATCTTCGTTACGGGAACAGCAATCTTGACACCATTGACCTTGTGCAAATGAATCTTGCCGTCTGTCACTCTCAAGAACTCCGCTTCAACTTTGAATGTCCCCGAATGGTCCGTCCATGTTCTGACTTTCTCGGGATCTGGCTTCGACCGACTCTTCTTCCGTTCGTCCTTCTCTCTTCGGTCTCGTCGTCGGGGTGGTTCATCGGCGAGACTGCTGCCACGCTGGGGAATGTCACTGCGAGACCTTGCGAGCTCTGCTTCTTGACGGGCTCTGTCAGCTCTGGCTGCCTCTTTTGCGAGCCGTTCCTCTTCAAGTCGGTTTTGATCAACCACGGACAAACCAGCATTTGCGCCAGAACGCGAAGGCGGCTCTATCGTCACAAACCCAGTAATCTCAATGTAGCTGCTGGGGACGACACCTTCTTTGCCGTTTTTTAGGCGTCGGACGTTCCACCACTCTTCGGATTTAGCGTCGTCCAGGATGATAACCTCATCTCCCACACCAACTGTGACTTCGTCATCACCCTGAGCCGGGAAATCGTAGAGGACCTTTCCTTTCTTATGTGTTGCGCCCCCACTAGCAGCAGTCATGACTTCCCGTAAACCTTCAGCCCGTTGAGCGCCTGCAATCTCTCCCAGCGCTGACACGATTTCTTCTGCAGTGTCCTTTGCACCTGCGTGCAGGTCCAAACTTTTGCTCGGCTTGACCAGTTCAATAAAGACGTGTTTGCCCTCGATAGAATAGTGCGTCATCTTATCTGCAGTCCATTCCTGTGATGGCCCATCTCTTGACTTTTCCGGGGCGAGCATGATCGTACCCGTTGCGATATTTATTCCCAAAGTTGTTGGCATCTTCCTCCGCCTGCCCATGGCAGAGACCATTTCACTGATATTGTACAGGTGAAAGCCGCCAGCCGATCGAACAGGAGCCTCCTCGTCCTCCGGTTGTGGGATAGCTCGGTTGTATGGGGGAGAAGGAAGTGGGCCCTGAGATACTTCGTTCGACGTAGGTCTTCGCGGGAGGGCGGGCGCGGGCTCTTCTTCGTCTGAGGCATCTGGAGTGAACTGTTGACGCGGGATTGTAGGAGGCGGAGACGATATTGTTCGAGCTGCTGTTGGGGAAGTCGGAACTCCGCCTCCCAAGACGCGGGCTAAGTTGGCGGCAGGACTGTGCACAGATCTTGCCGGAGAGACTGGGCTTGCAGGCGCTTCTGGCTCAGCGACCGCAGGATTCGAGTAGCCTCTTGATCGTACAGAGGGAGATCGCGGAGGGGCCGGGGGAGCAGCAGAGGCCGAGCTTGATATCTCAATGTAATTTGCTGGCGCAAATCCATAATCATCACCCACGCCGACCAAGGTCCAATCGGGGTCCGAGGTATCATAGACGTTTAATGCAGTGTCCTCAGCAAAAGAGACTTCCTCGTCGGTCTGGCGAGTGTAGTCATAGAGTGCTTTGGCAGTATGGGATGGCTTTGCGTCTTCAACATAGTTGTTTGGTATCAGACCCTCGGGTTCGTCGTCATCATCTCCAGCGGCCTTTTTCTTTGCTCTCCACCAGTCATCCTCGCTGCTCTTCTCTAGAATATATAACAATTCCCCCTCTTTAATCTCTAACTCGCCAGAGCTCTGCGGGTGATAGTCGTAGATGGCGGTGCATATTGCAACGAAGCCCATAATGGGGACTGAGGCGGAATTGATAGGCAGGGAGCAGCAACAGTGGTCAGAGGGATTGGGTGGAGGAAAATGCCATCAATGTGAGGTCGGGCGACTCGGGGAGACTGGAAGGGAAATTGAGGTAGCGCAATTTGAGGGTTTCACCTCGACGGCTAAGCGAACAGTAAGATGGCCTGCTAGCGGGTGAGGACGAGTGAGAGTGAGGATGAAGACAATGGGTGACGCGGTTTGAAGCCGAAACCTTGTTGAGAATGTGGCTGTATGCAGTTCTGGAGGTCGTCAACGTACAGCAGCTATCACGCTTACAGAAGACAAACAGAGGAACAAGCGGATGATATGGCAGGATCACAAGTTGAAGTTAGTTGGAGTTGCTCGAGATGTGCTCGCAGTTGGAACCGGTTCCAGGAACCTCCCCGGCGCAACTGGATGCCAAGAAGGGGCCCACGAGTTGCATCTCCCGTCGCTATCACCACCACCACGAGTTGCTACTATTCCCATCTGGCCATCCTCCACCATCACCGGCACAGGGCATCCAGAAATGCTTACATCAACCTGCATGATGAGGGAAGCTCTCCACGTATCACGGCTACCCTTCTTAGAAGTCTTTCGGCCCGGTTTTGCCATGCACTTCTCATGCCACATCAAAAGTTTACAAGTCCATGGTTCCAAAGCTATTAGCTTTCGATTGGTGGTGGACGCAGGCTACATCAGGACGATATTGGCTCATTTGCATCCCGATCCAATTCGCTTTAACCGTCTGCAGCATATTCTTCCTTGCTGCCGGTGTCTTCTTCGTTGTCTTCCGACGGAGGAGTGCTTTCTTCCTGCTCCTCGCCCTCCTCATCTTCGTCTGTAGCTACAACGCCCCTTAATTGTATATGTCCGTTGATGTCGTCCAGTCGCTCAATCTTCCAATCCTTTGAGCCAGCCAACTTCTGTAGCTCTTTGCGGAACGCATCAATGTCCTCCTGGCTCAGATCGAGCTTGTCGAGCTCCGCCTTGGACATGCCAGAGATCTGTCCCTTCTTCTGCATGATGACGGTCTCGGCCTTCTCGTCTTTGGTCAGGACAATACGCCCCCTCTCGAGCCTTCTGCCCTCACGACCGACAAGTTTCATTGCACCCACTTCCACATTACCCAGCATGATCTGTTGTGGCTGCCCTTGGCCGACTTGGCGAGAGCCCTCCTCTTCGTGACGCGCTTCCCATGCTTCCAGGTCATCTTCTGAGATGATCTCCCGGCAAGTGATCGGATGTGCTCGACTCTCTTTTGGCGGCTGGAACGCGACGTCGTTGCATAGTCGCGGCGTGTAGATGATCATGAGATAGGCGCAGGTGGCAGTCTCCTTGATCCAGCCGATTCGGTCGGTTAGTTGGGGGTTACAATGAAATTGAACCTCGATCTTGCGATTGTTGCCTGTGATATCGCAGGGTGTCCCTCCGTCGAGGCGCTGCACTAGATAGTTGGTCTCGGCCTTTGACTTGACTTCCGTCGAGAGTGTCTTGTCGGAACCAGGCTGTGCTTTTGAACCCGCCTGTTTCGGAGATTCAAACTTTCCTAAGACGTAGCTTGGAGTGGTAGGGTCTTCTTGCGGTGGCCATATCCGCCCATTTGTGCCTGGCGGCAGCGCATGGAATTGGGTTACCTGAGCGTTGTAGCAGAAGGAATATGTCCACCAGCCGGTGGAGTAGTATAGACACTGATTTGAAGCCATGCCCTGTAAAAGCTGTGATGCCCGTGTAACGGCTTGGTCCAACTCTTTTTCACGATCCACCGCCGACGGTTCGGTGGTTGTCCGATTGTCGAGGGTGTCTTTTGCTTCTGGAATGAAGCACAGATGGGGATACCCATGCAGGAGGACGCGTTCGTAAGAACCCAGTTGGGTCAAGTCCTCTGATATGGAGTCGGCATCCGTCTCCGAGTTAATATTGGCTGATACATCCTTCAGGTGTATCTGCGACGACCTTGAATTGTCGGAGAGGGCTTCGTTCCGCCGTCGGTCTAAAACGCTCGCGGCATCTGTGTCAAGTATGTAGGTTTTCGCGAATTCGATGCTATACTGTGGCAGTCGTCAGTGCTGAAGCGTTGCCTGCCCGAAAAGGAGGAGGGGTACCTGAGGAAAGGCAAACAGATCATCATTGACGCTAAAGGTCGTTTCGCTTGCCCAACAGACACGTAGTACGAAAGAAAGCACGAGACACGCTCGAAGGCCAGAAGAACTCCTCATCACGATTTAATTTCCTCAATTACATGACGGACATTTAGGCAATGGTTCTGGCCCAAGTCGCGAGGAAAACAACACGTCGCAAAAAGTGCTTCGCCGCAGCCCATCAGTGACATACGCCAAGCCATGGTGCATTCTAGACCAGGCACGCCAAACAAGGGTTTCGACATTGTATGTTTTCCTCTGATATAACAGTACATAATCTTTCATCCAACCATCTTAAAGTAATTCTCGTAAACATGGCTGAAGAATCCTCGTCGACCTTCTCCCTCGCCGGTAAAGGCTTGAAAATCGACACTAAAGAAGACCTCGAAAAACACATCAATGCACTTACATCGTCCCCCTCGGTCACCCACATCGATCTCTCTGGGAATACGTTAGGTGTCGCTGCTTGCGCCGCGCTGGCACCCATTTTGGCCTCAAAATCGACCCTCCAAAGCGCTGATCTACACGATATCTTCACGTCGCGTCTCCTCGACGAGATCCCCACAGCATTATCCTCTCTTCTTACCGCCTTACTGGAGTGTCCCAATCTCCACACAATAGATCTAAGTGATAACGCCTTCGGTCTCAACACAAAAGATCCGCTCGTCGATTTCCTATCCAAACACACCCCGCTAAAGCACCTGGTTCTAAACAACAATGGCATGGGTCCCGAAGCAGGCACTGCCATCGCCGAAGCGCTCATCACACTTGCGGAACGGAAAGAGGCGGCCAGGAAAGAGGGAAAGAATGTGCCATACCTAGAAAGTATTGTATGCGGTCGCAATAGGTTAGAGAATGGGAGCATGCCTGCATGGGCAAGAGCGTATCAGGCACACAAAGCTGGAATCAGGAGCGTGAAAATGACACAAAATGGTATCCGACCGGAGGGTATTTCCCACCTAATTTCATCTGGTCTGTCAAAATGCGAAAATCTCGAGGTTTTGGACATGCAGGATAATACCTTCACGCTTAAAGGTGCACAAGCTCTCGCAGAGGCGCTAGGTGGTTGGTCAAATCTCAAAGAACTGGGTGTCGGCGACGACCTGTTGGGCGCTCGTGGTGCAGTCAAAGTCTTCGAGGCTTTCTCTGGAGGCAACAGCGAGAATGTGGAGATCCTCAGATTACAGTACAACGACATCACTCCAGCGGGTGTGAAGTCGCTATTGAGAGCTGCCAAACACGATCTTCCCAAACTACGGCGGGTGGAACTGAACGGGAACAAGTTTGAGGAGGAGGATCCCTCAATTGAGGAGTTGGCAGCACTGTTGAGCGACAGGAAAGATGAATTGGGTAAGAACGAGGATCCAGAGGACCATTGGGGACTGGATGACCTAGATGAACTAGAAGGAGAGGAGGAGGAAGAGGAAGAAGAGGAGGAGGCAGAGGAAGAGGAAGAGGAAGAGCTGGCAGAGAGAATCGTCAAGGAGGCTGAGGAAGCCGAGGAGGAGAAAGTGGCTGAGGAGAAGGATAAAGAAGTCGATGAATTGGCTAAAGCTTTGGAAAAGACTCACGTATGAACAATAGGCCGTGCGGACTTGCGGCGCACCGTTGAGCATTGTTTAAGACACTGAGCATCACATTTTTTTTGGCAGAACAACATAGCGTAGCAGAGAAAGATACCCCAATAGACACGAGTGTCAGTCTTTGAGGAAGCTAAGCATTCCCTCCCTACGGCCTAGATCTTCTTGCGATATCCACTTCTCACTCGTGTGCCGGATGTATATCTGTGGCGACAAAGTCCGCTAGGTTCGAGGCGTTTTGCGTTCAACGAATCAACCCTAGAAAGGGGTGCATTGATTGGCGAGCGAGTACGTGTCCCTCCCTTCTAGCAAAAAAAGCCTTCCTTTTGGACATCAGTTGGCCAGTCACATATCAGAATGTCGTATCGACGTCGGGTCGGGGTCGAGGGTATGCGCCTCCTGCGTAAGGTTGTCCTGGTGGCTGAGTGCCTCAAGCACAAGCTGACAGAGGCAGTAGTGCTAGATCTGTGTTGAATTCAGCCAACTAATGTTGTAGCGATCGTCCCAAAGCTGCCTATTGAGGCGAAGAGAATCGTTGCAGAGCCAGGTTCTGTTGAAACCCCTCCAGATAGGGCGATTTGTGACGTCCACGTCCATTTAGCTGCCATAGATCTGCAAGAGCCGATCCTCCGCACCATCAAGAATGCTCCAATGATCCAGAACCTCCAGATTCTCTGCCTCCGCCTGGAACATCTTATGAGGTTCTTGACCCGGACCAAATGGATTGGCATTTGCACCTGGATTCATTTGGGCCATTTGCTGCGCCATCTGGCTGGCTGCGTTCTCATTGCCGAGAATGAAGATGAAAACACTTTGGAGTCCAAAAAGGCACAAGAAGTACCACGACAAGCTGGATACCCATCTGACATCCAGGTCTCGGGTCATAACACCGGACTGCAGCATGGATTTGAATCTAATGGTGAGCGGAAATGGCAGTTTGAGAATGACGAAGCCGGCAAAGAATGCGTTAATCCAGGACATGATCAGTGTCTGTGGAATCATCATGGCCATATTTCCCTTCATCATTCCCATCATACCCTCCATAGCCGCGGGGTCAGACATCGGGTTCGCTGCGCCTTGATCCTTGGATTCCGGACCACCTTTCAAAAAGGTGCCTTTGTGGTAGCCATCAACAAGATATTCTTTCCGGCGGTTGAACGAAGGTGTTGTCAGCGCGGCAGCAGCGTTATTTCGTAAGTTGACTCCACGAAGAAGCGCTTGTCGTTCACGGGACTCGAGAAGGCTGTTGGGGGGTTTCGGGGGAGTTTGCAGCAGGACTGAGGCGTAGTGTCGTAGGACTCCGGTCAATATCATCACAATCGTGATGGGCAGCAAGATCCAATAGCTTTTGAATAAGTTAGTAGGGAATAGATATTGTAGCAGACAACGGCAACTCACAACAGAGCGGGATCACGATGGATCATTTGCTCCGCTCCTTCCACAGCCATCTTGTAGTCGACCGATAGTCTGCTGAGAGTTGAGAATAGATGCACAGACTTGCTTGATATTGGACTGCGGGAGTGCTACAGACGATTGCTGAGAATGTCGTTGAATGGGCGAGTTGGGTCGGGAAACCTGCCTAGTCCTTCAAATAGTGGCCGTGTGGAGTCATTCCGTCCAAACCGTGTCTATCTTGACTTCACGTTTCTACCACCATGTCCTCCAGGAGATAAATGATGAGCATACGGAGATAAAGAAGATTTGGCCGTGGCGCCCTACACATTGTCAAGACGTAACGGTAACGCGGTGTATATCAACACGACAATAATGGTTATATCGCAGGGTTAGCCAGACTGACAACAGACTTGCGCGGTAAGGGTGGGAATGCAGTATTCCATAACAGCAATTCTCATTCTGTCTCTTAGTTGAGACGGCGCCTTCTCTGGACGCGAAGCTAGCTTGTCATTCAGACGACACCGAACGCCCCTGTCAATGCTAACCCTCCCTATCCTCCAGTTGTGCGCGGCACCTTTGTCATATCCCAACCTCCTTCTCAGCCTCGTTCTCGCCTTCAGCCCTCAGCCTTGTCAACTAGCTCCCATTCCGCCAACTCACAGTCGGCGCACACCTTCGTCATGGCCAGCTCCTTGTATTTTGAGACCCTGATCATGGTAGGACATTTGGGCTTTTCTACCCAGCTCACTGCCCATAGTCCCCTGCATTTCCGAAAATTGTCGCAGATGTACAGAATGATGCCTTCCAATTTGTAGCCATCATCAGTTTGCTTTTCGTTGATTGATGAAAGAATGGCTGCCGCATCGGCGGGAGCTTTGTCAACGCTTTGGACGTTGCTGCGGAAGGTGAAAACGCCGCGACCGTTGGGAGATGGGTTTGGTGCGCGAGGGAAGACTTTGGTGGTCATCATGCTGTCCCGTTTGACGTTAGAAATTGCGATGTGTTTGGATGCGAAGGCTCTCGATCTGGGGCGCAGAGGAATCTTTGTCGACACCAGCTAGAGTGCTTGTCGTGGCTTGTAGCAGTAGGGTTGTCTGTGGTTTGAGGCAGTAGAGCGACGTGCTTGCTTGTTTGTTTGCTTGATCAGACAAGATTCTGGGTATCAAAAGGAATTTGAAAATGAAACAAGAGACGGGGGGATTGTGTGCAGAAACATCGAGTCGTGAACAGTGAAGATGAGACGGAAAAGCAGCGTGATATCCTTGGCTTATCACAATGTATGGTATTCGTTTGGCAGACACTGGCAGCCGATGCACAAAGCTGTAGTTTGATGCATCATCTGGTTCCAAGTTCAATAAGCCTCGCTCCCCAGCCTTGCGCAAGGAGGGCGACAAGAGACCTTCTGGAAGGCTCTGAATCTCTCATGGTCGGGCAAGCTCAGTATCCATATGTGCGTCTCTGTGTTCGATCGCGGCACAGCCGAAGTGGTTGATAATACTCCATTCCTCATTCGCATCACTTTCCTCGATCACATCCCACGATAGGTCCTTTGCCAAAGTTTGGTCTTCTTCCTCAGCAGGTGCCCCTAGAGGGATGTCCTCGAATCCGGCCGTGGACATCATCCTACTTGTGTCTTCCCTGGTTTCAGTCCGTCGCTTCTCATATTTGTCAGACAGTGTCTCAGCTTGCTGTTTCCCCATCTGATGTCCCTCTTCCACGCTACTCTGTTTGTTGAATGCCTCTCTACACACACGACACAGCCTCGGGATTGCTATCTTCTTGTATGAATGCATGGTCATGGACCTCCAGACTCTCTTGCGTGGTTGTGGACTCCATTGCATCGCCCAGAGAAAGCCACAATCCTCGTAGTAGCAATAATAGTATTCGATGCCGTCAGCTGGTTGGCCAGTGAGCCTAAATGGCGGTTTTGTAAGCATGGCAACGTACAGTGGCGACTGCTCGATCGTGAGGGAACCGTCCGCTATATGACCAGCCAGCATTTTTTGGTCGGCTTGAACTGAAATAGAACGGTTTGGTGCCATGATAACAAGGTATGATAGTGTAGTGTCGGCCGTTATTGAAATGCAAAGGGATGATTTAGAGGGGTGATTTCCTAACGCTCCGAGTTTCCGGTCGATCGTGATTTTGATGAAGCCCAACTTGGGTAAGAATTAAGCCTGTAGGATGGGAAGATATTGCAACCAACAGATGGGCTATGGTGGACTCTG